ATATATATAAAAGAGTTGACTGAGTTCAACATATTTTATTCATTATCACAATTGCACTGATTGTCTCAAGTCAAATGATGGAATCTGATAATTGAAGTATAATTCCCAAGCATCAAAAGCACATGATCGTTAAGTGAGTTTGTTGCTTGGGTTCTAACTAGTCATTACTTTGAGATGCATGAACTAGTGATATAATTTTTCCAACCACTTATTATTAAGTTTAATAATGACAAATTGAATGATATTGATATATGTGAATGGAATTGTTTAATAGTGTAGAGAATTTTTGTTGCTTACATTGTATACAAGTTTCAATGCTCTTGCTTCTTCTATTGCAAAACAGTGTAGACATTTTTTGTTGCTTCTTCCGGTGTTAACAATGTACTGTTATACATCACACTATATACTTTGTATACATTTCTTGTTGTTGGTCCTCTGCCTTGATGGAATGCTTCATTATATTTAATGCTCTTGCAAGAATTTGTTTCAAGCCTCTTGTTTCTTCTAGTGCAAAACAGTGCAGAGACATCCATAGAAAATGCCATATGCAGTGATCTAATATTCCCATGTGCGATCTAAAATTTCATATGCATAACAATGTGGAAACATCCAAAGAAAATTCCATATGCAATGATCTAATATTTCCATATGCAGTGTAGAGACATCCATAGAATTTGTTTCATTACCTTTAACATTCCCATATGCAGTGATCAAAGATTTCACTACAAGCTGCTGTAGATGCAATTGGCAGTTAATAGACATTCATAAAAAATGAATTAGCAAAACTATCACCACAAACAGGCTGTCATCAACATAAAAACACTCCAAAAGACAACCAAGCAAAATCCTAAAGTGAACTACATCATATGATAGACTCTGGATTGGGGAATAAACTGTTACATCCTGACTATGCTTGGAGATTACTTTCATCTGCTTACTAACTTGTGAGAATGTGTTGTTTCCTATCTTCTCATTGTAATGTCTCTCAACTCGTATGAAGTTTATTTGTTTTTCTTGAAGGATGTACTATAGGTGCACCAGCCCAGGTTGTAGGATAAAGTTGCAGGCACACACTAAAGAACAATAGTCCAAGACTACTTTTTGATTTGGTTATTTTTGTGGCGCCATGGTTCTTTTGTGTCATTCATCAAAACTCTCACATTAATATGCACCTAATGTTCTCCAGGCCAATCTGTTTTTTGATTTATATTCTATAGATGCGGACTTTGTCTCAGTGTTAATTTTATGAGTATGTACTTATTATTTGAAACTACAATAAACTGAATTGCTTGTTCATTTTGGTAATTCTATTGAGAATAATGCTTGTTGTATTTGGTGCTTTTCCTTCTTAATACTAGCTTGGATAAAAGGACCTTAATCCCAATCGTGAGTGTCAATGTAAACTTCACTTTTAGCCAATGAATATAAACCAGTCCTAAACTTGATTATTTGTAGGTTTTGGTCTTTTTGTAATTTCTCTCTTTCATCTGGAGTAACTCTTTGTGAAGTCGTGCCAATTGCCTTTCTTGACATGCACTTAGTGATCAGTTAGTGGAAGTCACTCTGGTCTTTCCCCCGCAACAGAATGCACTTAGCAATTTGCATCGGAAATGCACATGTCTTATGTATCTTAAAAACTTGGGAGAAATTTAATAACTGGTGAGCTATTGCCTTGTATTATGAATATTGAAGAGATGATATTGTCCTCCATTTCCAGAGGATGTAGTTGAGATGAAGGACCAAAACAACCTTCCACATACACACAAGAGGGAGAGACGAGAGAGAGAATAATTGAACATTATCAACGAACAAAAAAATGGAACACACAGAATACAAAGAGAAAAGTTTTCGAATGAGAGAAAAATAGGACAATACCCAAAGAAAAAGTAAAATAAAATCAATATACACAAACACAGGCAGTACAAAGAGGAAAGTGTTTTCACTGAGAGGGAGATATATGAATCTATAGCTTTAAAATGATCTGAATTCAATTCAGATAAACAATTGGGTTCAATACACCACGAAGAAGTCACCCAAGCATGATCCATGCATATCATGAATACAGATAAGAAACTTTTATATACCTTCAATATAACAAAGACCAGAAAGGCTCAGGGCATCCAAAAATGACCATAAGAAAGCTTAATACAAATATTAGTCATGATCCATCCTGTTTTCATAAAATTGTCAAAATTCAAAGTATTTCTTTGAAACAGTTGTTTGAAGACATTTTTCAGCACCTTGGTCCCCGGTCAATAAAGCCTAACGTACTGTGGAAATTCCAACAGTCGCAAAATGGCCCTAAAACTGCTCATGATCTTCATGAGCACTCTTAAAAGTCCCCTACCAAGTTTCCTCGCATTCCGCCATGTCTAAAGCAGTGCAAACTAAGAAATAGTTTAAGCAGAATCAACCTCTAGCTTGCTGAAACGGACCCCTATAACTAGAACTACATTTTTTATGCATAAAATTATTGTGGCGCCATTAGATCCAGCATGGTTGAAAACCTCAAGGGGTCAAATTTCAGCTTAAACGGACATTTCAAAAAGAAGTTATAGGCAAAAGAGCGAAAATGGAGGAGCTGCACGCTATTCCCGTGCGGCCGCCCTGCCACTCATCTCCATTGAAAGGGCAGTCACGAACAGTGACTTTCGATGCTCATATCTCACCCGTCTTGAGTCAAATCGTGCTCAAATTTTGTGAGCATGTTCGTCTCGTCAAGACGAGCATTTTAATATGTGGCATGCCCCGCGACAACGCCTGAGCACGAAGCAAAACTAGAGAGACGTTGTTGATCCGTGAAGAAAGTACAGGAAAATCAGCAGTGTCGTGTATCACTCGAGCAGCCAAATCACACCTCTCGCGAGCTCAATCAATGCGAAACCAGTTCCATTGCTTGCGTAAGGCTTAGGGCTATGTCTAATCTGAACCCCGTACATGATGAACGGTCGAATTCTGCACATGAAGCCGACAAAGTGACTGCAAATTTTGGAGCAGGAATTCCAGATTCTGGCCAAAACTCCAAATTTACAAAATCTTTGTTCGGACACAAAATCAAGCTGCGTTTATTGCCACGCGATTGTGACGGCATGCTTAATGTGATCCAGCGAAGAAATTATAGAAAAACATCAAGGAACAAGCACACTATCGATCCAAAGTTTCAAGATTCATCCAAATTTCAAGACACATGATCGTGCCCTAAAGACACGATCGCCTTGTCGAGTCCTACAAGAAAACAATCATCTTTCGATCAAACAGGCATCACAACAACCCCAGATCATCTATGAAAGATCACGCAAGTTATAGGGCAACACAAGAACTGTTTTGAAATTCCACAAATTGTCAGGAAGGGGCAAATATGTTATTTTGTACCCTATTTTCCTATTTCTTTTAATTTAATTAAATCTTAATTTCCAGCAATTAGGTTTAATTTTGATCAATCCATCCATGTTTGGGCAAAATTTTATGTATATCATGTACTATCATTGTACACAGGCCCCCCCTCATTCAGTCACGAAGGAGAGTTTTGCTTAATAAAATTTCTCTTTCTTCTCATTATTGGGTCATGTTTGGAGAGAGATAGAGAAAGGAGAGAGAAAATTTTCGATCGGTACCCTTAGGCTCAAGGTAAATTTTCTCTCTCTTCTTTTCTTTCTTCTTCTTCTTCTTCGTCTGAACTCCTCCCAGAGGCCATGCATGGTAGTGGCAGTGTCATGCATGCCTCTTTCTTCTCTTTTCTCCCTTCTGTGGTTTCACAAATCATGCATGGTGATGGCAACACCATGTGCGAACTGCCTGCCCTTATGTTTGCTTGTCGTTATCTCTCAGCGAGGCTCGCAGATGGCGTTGCTCACCGCCATGCGCAAAGGTGTCCTCGACGTCTCAATGAAGAGCACAGACGACGAAACTTATTACTGCTCACAAGGGTCTCCCCCTGTTGCGCGCCTATCGAAAACGGCGATGCCAATGAAGTTACATTGCCCTAAGACAAGGGTGGGTCATTCAGCCCA